ATTAAAAAATATTAAGCATCTATAGTCACAATATTTTTTATAAGAGTTTAAAGTAAAAATTTTAACAAAATTTTTAGTAATAATCATGAAAATTAATAAATTATTTTATGGTTAGAAATTCATAAAATTGTTTATTTTATACCTTATACCATATTTAAAAATTAAATACTATATTTTTTAAAGTTTTTTAATCTATACATGAAACACAAATTCTACCGGAAAGTCAAGTTAATTTTATTTGAGCATTTCAAATTCAAATGTTTACGACATTCGATATTCACCCACTTAATAATTATTTTTTCTTAAACAATTTGTATTATTTAATGATAAAATTATCATAATTGCTTGTAATATTTGTACCTATTGATATTTAGAATACTAGAGAGTATTCCTAATATTCTATAAAACCGGAAGTTAAATCTAATCTTATAGCACGTAATACTTAAGATTTCAATCAACTCAAACTTAAAATTTTTTGGTGAAATTTATATTGTTATTCATTACATTTTATAGTATGTAATGTACCTAACTGTTAAGGTTTGAATTTAGTATTATGTTTTGTAATTCTGTTAAATCTAACGTAATTGTTTTAAATAAGCAAATGTATGGCATGTAATATCATACACGATTAGGTACACCGTGACCACATTGATAATATATATTTATTTAAACGTGAAGACAATAGCTGCCTGTATATGATGTAATTGTACTAGATTATGGCGATCGGTTAAGGAAGTCAATCTCACGAGTATAATATAATACCTATGTTTCGATCCGGATCGACTTTTCTAATCCGATTAATTTTCTTGGCCTGATAGTAACCATTATATCATACAGAGTTAAAAACAAAGAAAACCGTCTATAACCTATCAAAAATAAATATTATAATGTCTAGCGTATTAAAATGAAAAATATGTTTTCTAATTTTCGTGTAAAATAAAACAATACATATTTTTAATTTTATGAGTTCCTCTTTAAGAATTTATTACTATATAATATCGCATTATTACAGTTTAATGGTTGCGTGTTAGTTGGAAAAAAACTATCGAAAGGACTTATGTATAATGTATGGTTTATCACATAAAAACCATACAGGATATCCGTTCTGAATTAATTGACAGTAAAAACATTTAAGCAAAACAAAAAAAAAAACTGAATTCATAAAAAATAATTATTAAAAGCACGATATTTCCTTTACTACTAGGAAATTTATTTTCAATCAAATGATTAACACCTTGGAGATCAATTATAATAATACAGTAAAATAAAAATTTTATTTTTATATTTAACTACTAATACACAATAAACACTAAATAGTATAAAGAAGTATGAGATTAGTTAAGTTTTAATATTTTGTTTAATGTATTAGGCACCTACCAAAAATGTATACTATTTACTCTATTATAGTTTATAATTTATACACATACGACATACCACATAATTATTATTAATATAGATAGATACTAAGAAACGTATTTTAATTTCTTATCACATACACTAAATAATATTGAATCAATAATATCTTTTAGAGACAAATAAACTTTGAGAGTTCATTAATGTTTTAAACGATATAATATTAATGAAAAATAAATTAGAATTAGTACATATATAAAAATAATATATATATAAACAACGTATTTTTAATTTAATATATTAATTGTAATACTTATTCACTATACACCTACCACTTACCTGCAGCCAATAAATAATTTGTGTATATTAATCCTGTATTATTAGTTACATTATAGTATAACTATTGCATAATGCAATAGTAAAGTAGTTCCTATCAAAAATGGTTTTTTGTGAATCTAACAATTCAATGTTTTAAAAACAAGTTTCATTATATTATTTAGATTCTAGGTATAAAATTTAGAAGTAATACAATATTCTATATTAATACATAAGAATAGCCATATATTGGTTTAATAAATATTATACTCTAATAGTATAATAATCTTAGCGTTTAAATCATAAAACATAAGGTCTAAAAAAGGGTTAAATTAAATAAACATTATACCTATCAGGATTCTCCTGGAATTTCTATTCAACAAAATGTATTAAATTTCATAGTTATTTTTTGTTTCCAATTATTATAAGTTCTAAATTAACACTGTAGGATTCTGTTTTACTACTATCATTACTAAGAATTACTTAAATTTGGTCTGAGGTTGAATATAAATCATTTTATTGTTCATTAGTTGATTTATGATGAACAATTCTAAATTTTACAAAAAATTTTATAGTTCCTCAAAATATACGTATAAACAATAGATGGTAATGTAATGTATATTATTATACATTATCGATACTCGTTAGAGTGAAATCAATTCCAATTTCTTATACGACAACGCGATGAACAATAGCTATTGTCTTTTTTTGTACCTAATGTAATACACAAATATCTGAAATCGATTACTTAATATTTAGGGAAATTTATAAAAAAATAAATGCATATATCTACATAGGTATATTAATATATTTATTAACACGCATATGCGATTGATAATAATATTTACGTGAATAAGGTATAGTATATAATTTTTAAATATGATAAATTTAGTTACGCCACTATAGTTTTATTTTTATTTTTATTTTTATTTTTTATGTACCTACTAAGTTTTAGTCATTAAAACAATATATAATGGAGACAAATATGTTACTTAAATTTTTAAAAATACAAATTTCTAAATATTATATAAAAAAATGTAGATTAAAATATTGTATGGATATGTGTAACCAAGATCAACATCACACTTAATTTAATTCTAAATCTGGTCGATGAACGAAGTCCAAGAATGCATTACAAAAAGCACTTAGGTAGATAACAAATAGTACCTACTACCTATGATATTTTAAATATTCATAAACATCAGAAAAAATTTACTAATATAATAATAAAAAAAATATATAAATAAAAAATATAGATATTTTATATTTAAAATATTCTTACATGTTTAACAGAATACTGTTAATTAAATATACATTTTTTTATTTGTAACTTGTAAAGCAAAGTATTCTTTTATTTTTAATATACCGAATTCCTCAATACGTCTCAAGATTACTTCGAACGTGCTACGTCGTTTAAATAATAATCGTGGTACCGATCGCACTGTCCTGCACAGTGATCACTACACATGTTTTGATTATAAAAATTAATTAATTTTTAAATCATAATATTAAAAAAAATAGGTATTTAAAAAAACCTCGACATTGAAGTTTTTTAAATATAAAATGGCAATAATTACATAGCGTTCTTAAACACTTAAAACATTAATAAAAAAAAATAAGGGACAACAATATTTTTCTTTTTGTTTGAATATTTTTATGAATTAAAACTAAACGAATAAACTACACGCAAATGCATGTTTTTACCACTTTGAACATTGTTACACAAAATATATTGCAGCACCCATATAAAAATAAATTTGACATGCGATAGTTGAGATTTTCAGTAACATCATAACTAATATTCTTGGATATTATCCATCAATTTTCATTTTCATTTTTATAATTAAAAAAATTATACCAAGCTCAAAATTCATAAAATTTGTTTACTCAACTATACCTGAGTAACATAATGTATACCAATTTAAAACAGTATATATGTATATATATAATATATATTAAGGTACCTGTATAGGTAAATAAAATGTAATAATGCAGTTTTTTATACACGAATACAAAATATATATTATTGTAAGATATCCCTATATCAAAATGAACATTTATTATATCTATATAAGTACATTTTTTTACCTAGCCGTAAAATATTTAATTTATTATATTATTAGACAAAAATTGTATTTATGAATCAACTCTCTGAGATTTTTTTTTTTTGTAACGCGCCTATTCAATTTATTTTTTGCACAATGTCATAAAAATTAAAATAAAATTTAAACTGCAACGTATTATTACATTTACTATATAAATACTCATAGCTGAGCTGAGTGAAATTTTACAGAATTCAGCGACTAGAGCATGTTAATTATCAAAACCCAAAAGTACCAGTTCAGAAAAAAAAACTATGTTATAGACATAATATTAAAATTCTTATTACCAAAATCAACGTATAAATATACCATATAATTAATATTACATTAAATAATTTTTTCATAAAAATTAAATTACGAATCTTTTATTTTAAAAATGAATATTTATGAGTGATTTCCATCAGCTTAGCCACGACTTTTATTTTTATGAAATTTAACTATATGAATGATGATTATTTTTTTCTTTATTTTAAATTTAGTTTATCGTATACTGAGATTTTAATATCATTTGTATCATATTCCACATTGATATTCAGTATTGATTAATTAATATTTAGAACGATTTCAGTAAAAAAAGCATTTAAATGTTTAATAATAAAAATAATTTTTCATTACTTCTACAAGAATAATTTACAACATTGCTTTTGTACTATAAAGTAATTTTAAAGTATCAAAACTAATAATAGGTAGGACTAAATATGAAATGCATGAAAGAAGTATGAATGTGTAACAGTATGATTAAAAGCTCTCGTAATTAGCTTAATATATACGAATATTATTACCAAATTTGACAATGCTAAACAGAGCGAAAACCATGGATCAGTAAATCACATTATTATCTACAGTTTTGTCTCTTTTTTCAATATGGAACCATAATTATTCTTACACAAATCAAGAACTCAACGGATAGGTGTGAAAATCGAATGCTTACAAGATAACTTAAGAAATATAATTCTGGACGTTCAACATAAATAAATTATACTACTCACAACTAAATAACAACAATTACAATGAAATATTGTCAGGTACGTATTCATTTTTAAAGACAAACAAGTAACAGAGCTACGCGGAACAACCCCGAACCCGGACAAGTACACAACTTATGACAGTAAATTTTTTCGGGACCGGAGTTGGATTCAACTGTTAACTACCTCTTAGTAGCCTGCAGCTCTATAAGTATAATATAACTATATAAGTAGGTAAATGTAAAGAGTCTAACGAGCTCGTTACCTTCAGGCCTGTAGACGTTCAGGTACAGACAGTCCTCGGAAATCTTGACGGGGCCCGGTGTGACTGTGGTGAACAGTCGGTGGACGGGATGCGGCCGAACAGGCGGGTCCGGGATACAAGCGGGCTTGTGCACGGTCCCGGCGAGGACGCCGCTCCACGCGGGCGGCGGATCGACTTCCGGCGGCGCGAACCGCAGATTTCCGATGGGTGGTTTGGCGAACGGTATGCCCAGATACGTCCAAGCCCGATGTCCGATTTTGTTGAGCGGCACCTCGACGCCAGAAACGGCGCCCTGCCTGCGGATGTTGACCACCGGCGCGTCCCGATTACCACCGCCGGCTCTCTGCGACTGGACCTGACTGCCGCATATGCAGACGCACGCGCAGGCTGCCAACAGCAGCGATGGCCCTCCGATCCGGTTGCGACGTCCCGCGATCGACGACCGCGTCGAGTTCAACAGTACCATGGTATAGGTCGATGGTGCTGCAGTATTCTTTACCGGTAGGTATATGAATATAACAATATAAACCGCGGTCCCAGTCGTAGCACGAGTGTTCAGTCGGCGAACGAAATTGCGTGTATTATGAATTATGATAAATATATACGATTTATCGAAAGTATAACACAGCCGGTGGTAGTGCGTGGGCCGCCGTGGTCTGTGCGTGACGACGACAACGACGACGACGAAAGAAAGAATGAAATGAAAAACGTCCGTGCGACGGGGCAAAGACCGAGTACGGCGCGCCTTCCACTGCACTGTGCGCAACCGTCCTGCACTTGCCCCGTTCAACCCCACCCCACGTCGTGATAATAGCCGTTTCGCACGGAACGCAACGGTGACGGCGGCTCTGAATTAGCCTAAAGAAGTCTTCGTGAGTATATATAACACATTTATACAAATAATATTACCGACGGGGCGTGAGGTGTCTGCAATATAGTCTGTATAGACATCATGTCCGTATGCAGCGTGCATTATACCGTACGATTGATAATAATAATGTGAACAGCGATGAAAGATGCTCTGTATACGCACGCAACGTACTCGTTGATGATTATTTCGCTCGCTCGCACGTCGTTTACGGAATCCCGAGTCCCAACGTGTTATTATATCATATACTGCGTATACACGAAAGGGACATGCACATAATATTGAAATAATATGCATAAATACATAGCGCGATCAAATCATTAATATTTTACGATTATTTTTATCGATAACAATACCATTGTATATAATAATACGCCTATAGTACATTATAGTACTGCGACCGCGTGCGGTGTTGGGTGATCGGCGGTAAAAATGTAAATTTCCCAAGCGGACGCGAGTGAACAACAATAACAATATAATAATAATAATCGTCGGAATCACGTCGGTCTGCACCCCTAAGTCAAGCCCTATCGTACCCACTGCTAAATAGCCCCTCGACCTTGACGCAGCCATCGCGCCGCGTGGCAGAATTTCATTATCGCGGTCGTCACGCTTGGAACCGATTGAAGCCCGAGATACGTAGGTATAATATTATATATTATAATTACACACCACCTCAATAAATGCGAACTTTAATACATATACATTTTTGGGTGGATATGGCGCTGGGAGTATAATGTGCAATAAGTCTTAAAGTCAGACGATTGCCTTTATAATGAAATTTTTCCTAAATATTTTAATATTATTCTAATTGCCAAAAAACTACGCTACCCGAATTTATAGCTAAGTGTCCAAGTTCTTTGACCTCATGCTGCTACATATTTATTTTACACTTTATAGCTATTATGTAAATATATTATCATAACATTTGAAAAGAGCGATTCTTTTATCTTAAACCTAATAATCAAAATAAAGATACCTACTAATTAATTTGAAGATCAAATACTAATAATTATAGAAAAATAATACATTTACAAAAAAAATTTCTCTGATTAGTTCGCACCTATGAACTTTTTAATAAAATACATCCTAAAGAGCCATTTCTCACCCCAATTATCTTATAATACTAAGAAACTGTTTAATGTAAGTAATTCAGAAATATTAAAAATAAATCACTTTTTATTATTATTATCTATATTAGTATTAAAATCTTATAAATAAAACTAATCTTAATTTTAATACCAATTTTTACAAAAATTACAGTGTAGATTCCCCTAAATGTAACAAATAACTTGGTCTGATTTCTCTTTTTAACATAAAAACTAATCTATTGCGTAATAAAAATAAAAATATTAACTCTTTTTTTTTATAAATATTTAGTATAAAATGATTTAGTTTTAAAAATGTATAAGTATGGAGAGAAATTTGGAATATGACTAATACTACAATTGAAATACTATAAATTAAATATTATATAAGAATTGGTACGCATTCTTGACTTTGGAAACAACAAGGAATAAATTAAACAAAAAACCATTAATCAGGTTATAACAATTTATTGTATTAATTGGAATACTCTTTATCAAAAACTTAACACATTAATAGTAAACATATTATGTATTAAAAACACAAATAACTTAATAAGAAATTCGTGATTATCATAGTTCTTAAATCCATATTGATTAACTAAACATCTATATTTCATACTTACAGACAAACATAAATCAAAAACATTTTTTTTTTTTTATCACTATAAATTATAATTAATAAAAGTATAATATTTTTTTAATTATTTATTTTAATCGAAATTTACAAAAATCTTATATGTTAAAATGAGCAAATAAGTGATAATATGATATGAGGTGGTGAAAAAAAAATATATTAAAAGAAGATTAAGATTAAAAACTCCTGAACACGAGTGAAATATAAATATTTAAAAAATAATAATAATAACATCATTATACCAACTTACAGTGTGGGTCTTACACGATAAATTGAGCACCACATATGTTGACGTATTTATTTTCTTACGTCTTGTTCCTTATGAATTTAGGTTATAATTTATTTATAATTTATATTACTTGATAATGATTGAAAGCTCTCCTTTTCTAAAGAGTAATTATTAGGCAATTATTTTTATTCTAATGGATGAGCATATTATGTGTAAGAATCTTGAACATCACCTACATAATATTCAGAACACGTATAGTAAAATAAATATCATTATCTTAAGAAAAAAATAAAATATTTTGTTCCTACGATATAAACTAATTTTAATAATTAAGTACTAATAAAATCTAATAAAACTATACATACTAAAAATAAATTAATTTTAGTTTTATAAAAATAGTTAAGCTTATCGACCTTTTTTCCAGACTAGGTATTGTAGAAATAATAATAGAATTTTAATATAATTTAAATTTAAATAACGGAAATTTATTTTATTTTAGAAAAAAAGGCGATAAACTCAATGTTTTTATACAACTGAAATACAAACATTCTAATTTGTCTAAGTAATTTTTTCTAATAATTTATCTAAACCATAAAATAGTTATTATTCTGCTTCCAACCACCCTAAGTTTAAAAATTAAAAAGACAATTTATGATGTTAACTTTTTTTTTACAATTAACAATAAAGAATTTTATATTTTAATAAACTGAACAAGCATTATTTTTTTTGCCTGTATCACATGCACTCAAATTAAAAATATATTTATCCGTAAAATTAAAACGTTTCTTCATTTGTTTCGTTTCGTCACAATTGATGTACCTTTTGAGGAAAAAATACAAAAAAAAAATCAAATAAATACACAATAATAATAGTCAAATTTTGTGGTTTTATGAAATTTTAAAATAATCATTTTTCTAATTTATACGCATTCAATATAGAAAATTAAATTCAAAGTAATTTTACTTCGCTCACACCATTATCTATATAAAAGCCAAAGTTGAATGGTATATTTGAATTATTATATAAATTATAGCATTTTAAAATGTACTTTGATTAGAGCTTTTGTGTTTAATATATTATTTTTTTTTTTTTTTACTCGCGTTAAACTATTGCAAATTTTAATTGATGACTAACTCACAAATTATCAGTTAAATTATTTTTTAGTATTACCATATACAAACTATTCGATAAAAAGATTTTATCAATCACCATTCTTTTAGGAAAATTCCAGCCCTTGCGATAATAATATTATGACCTCATAAATAATTTACACATTATAAATAGTAAGAGTTTGTTTGATAAATAATAAATACGTATAATGTGTATGTGTTGATATTTGCTTAATATTTGTTAGTATGACTTAATATATATTTACCGGATTTAATGGAGCCACTTAAAGCCGCAGGTCCTAAGTTCACTACAGAGTACGAACACTGCTTGTCTTCGTCTGAATAACTGTAATTTAAATTTAACCTTTTTAATTTTTCGTTCAATATTATTTATTTTATTAACAAATTTGTAATTTTTTCTTACATAAAGTAATAGTTTGGGTACTTTTCAGATTTGAATGTTTATTAAAAATAGATAGGTACGTACATAATCATTATGAACACATTAACATACGTTTTTTTTTTTTAAATGTTTTGTATAGAAATTAAAAACAAAAACCGTAATATCCATTCCAAAATATTGATTTTCCTAACTATATACTTATGCAAGACGGGGCACTTCCCCCCTCCTCCCAGTAAATAAAATGAACTTATAATTTAATAATTTACCATATTACCTAATAATTTAGATAGCATAAAATAAATTTTTTTTCTTAATCACTATTAAAATATGAAATACACGATATAATTACATATTAACGATATAGGTTATAAGTATCTAAAGTATCTACACTATCTAATCGTATTTTCAATGAAAATCTTATCAGCATTAAATCAGTCCTTGAAGAACTATCTAGTCACAATAATTTAGATTTTAAAGTTAACACCACTACTCTCGCAGAAGTTAACGTGCATAATAAAAAAATCATTAAGTACAATAAGAAAAGTAAAACCATAGCTTCATTCGACTACCAGTGAAGACCGTTAAAATTATTTATGTATGATAAGCATTTATCATTAAAGGGTGAACTTTACCAAAGATAGTTCCATTCAGGATGTTATTAATATGTTTGGAATGAAACAAAGAAATTTTCAATTTTTATTTAACAAAACTTAATAATAAATTTGATCATATTTTAAAACCTTTATTTTGCTAACAATTGAGAAATGTTTTATTCTCCCCCTCCCTTAAAATTTTACTTATGGGCGTCAATTTATGAGTTTATAATATAAATAGTGTGTGATATCTTTACATAAATATAAAATAGATTTATTTTTATTATAAATTTAAGTACAACTGTTAATTTTAAACAGTAAGTAGGTATTTTATTTATTTAATTTTTTATTAAACATTAACTTTGACAACAGGAAACATTAGCTTTATGTAATATTATATTTTACATGACGATATTAACAACTAGATAATGATTAAAAGGAAACTATATAATATATATCATAGTCTATACTCTATAACTATTGTATTTATTTGTGTCATATTAAATTTCAATATGTCGATGTTTTTGAAAAATAACGACATTTTCTGGTTTGCAGTCTAGTTTGTTTATTTCGTAGTTCTTTGATATGTTTACCTTTTACTTTCTTCTTCATTCCTTCATTAAGTATCTTACCGTTAGAGCTACTATACATGAAATACATTCTGTCGATGTTTGGTTTCGCATGAGGTGGCCAATTCTCGCTTGACTTATTATTATTTCTATTTTTCTTAATATTTTTAATTGTTGACAGGGATTTAAATCTTATTTTATTTCTCGTAATTTTAAGTTTTGATTTGACCAGTGATAATATTATATATTGTCTTACAATAATCCGGCGATTAAAAATATTGTAATATTACTTATATATTTGTATATTATCTAAAAACTACCATTGATTATAAATATCGTTTTAATTGCCTCATTAGCTCCAAAAAACTAATATTTACTTATTTTTCAGTAACTAGTAGATAATAAATAGATACATAAGGAATATTAAAATCTTTTTAATTATCGGAATAAAGTAAAATAACATATAATATTGAACAATATCTACATATTTTGTTGCATTCAAAATTGTAATTTCTATTGGATTTTTTCACCTTTTAACACTGGAGTTGCTGCTAATCAATGACACCGAACTAGAACCACAACTGGATTTGACTTGATTTAAAAATAGACCGGACACAGCAGGTAGCTCTAAGTTCTTTTCTGATAGATATTGCTTGACGGTCGGTTCAACTCCGATATGTCGAACAGACATTTCCGACAACTGCTCCAAAACACATTTATTCACTTTTTTCATCATCCTCACTACGATATCCCGCTGTAAACTCGATTCATTAAACATGTTTTAATAATTTTATTTGAGAATTTATATATCATCATAGAAAAGGCAGTATAAAATAAAAGTATCAATACAAAATTAACAAACAAAATACTTTTACGATTTTTTCATGGTTGAATTCACTATAAATATGGAACAAGGAAAGATAGTCTAACGTATAAAAAAGTTAAAAATGTACCTCATGATCAGTATTGTAAAGTATTTTAACAAAAGTATTCAAATACATAGATATTTTAAATATTTTTGAAAAAGGTAATTGAACAAAGTATTTTAAATACTTTCTCGTGTAATCTATACTCAAAATCTAATACTAATTTTCATATACTTTTTCTTTTTAGTTTATATTTTATAACCCAATCAATAATTCAAATGCCTTTACAAAGAAAACTAATTTAGAACTATATGGAATGATTAAAAATTTTTATTCAGATAATGTACCTATAAGACAAAAGATTAATACACAATTTGAATGTATTTTAAAGTAAATACCTACAAATAAATATTTTTTTTAAAGAGTATTTATATTTTTGTACTTGAAATTTAAATACTGATACTAGTTGTAATGTATATTGTGTTAAATTTTAATACAATGATTAATTAATGTATACGAAATACTATTCTGGACAAGAACAATTATGAGTCTTAATTTCTAAAGGATATCTTAATAATTATTTAAATTATTTTTTTGTTATTTATAAAGTTTTTCTAACTTCTTATTATATTAACTTAATAATAAACAAATATGAAACTGTAACATAAGTAAAGCAATATAATTTAGATAAATATTATATACATTTTTAGCTAATTTTAATATATTTTTATACAGTCTATATGTATAATTACAACAAAATAACATAAATCGTAAAAATTAATCGAAATAGTCCGTTTAAATATAAAATTTGAACTTCAAACGCTCATAAAAATTGAACGTGACTTTACGCTAAACTTTGTTTTTCTTTTTATTATTATTATTATGACAGTGAGAATAACTTAATATTTTATTAAATATTCAAACTTTAAGTATTATTAAAATTAAAAATATTTACGCATTTTGAACTAAAAAATAATATGCAAATTTTCTTAGTTCTTAGAAATGTTTTCAAAATTTGAACTTCAAATACATGAAAAGTGATTATTCATTTTTGATTTGTTTGATTGCTTTAAAAAAAAAATATTATTATTCATACAATATAAATCGAAAAAAAATTGAAAATTGTATGTCTATAAATAGCTTAAAACATTATGAAAATTGCAAAAAATAATACAATAATGACTTTTGTTAGGTACATAATTAATATTCCTGTTAAATTTTTTTTCCACGATTATTTTGAAAAACTATAATTATATTCAATTTTCTACCAGAACTACACTCAGTACTGAAGATTGAAGTACTTTTTTTCTTTTTGGAATTAAAAATATCTTAAGACACTAAAAAGTAAATTTCATGGTAAATTCTCACTGTCATAATAATAATAAAAAGAAAAACAAAGTTTAGCGTAAAGTCACGTTCAATTTTTATGAGCGTTTGAAGTTCAAATTTTATATTTAAACGGACTATTTCGATTCATTTTTACGATTTTTGTTATTTTGTTATAATTATACATACAGACTGTATAAAAATATATTAGAATTAGCTAAAAATGTATATAATATTTATCTAAATTATATTGCTTTACTTATGTTACAGTTTCATATTTGTTTATCATTAAGTTAATATAATAAGAAGTTAGAAAAACTTTAAAAATTACAATTTATAATTATAATAACTTGAGCAACTTATATTATAATTTATAATACGTAGATATTACCGATGAATAAAATAAGTATTGAAATTTACTTAAACTATGTATTATTAATATATATTATTATTATCTTACTTTTATTAATTCAAGTGCACTCCGTTTTTCGGGATTACAACACTTGTCAATTGTTTTCATATCAAACTCGATTCGGTTATTTGCTCGGTTTAGTTTCATTATTTGTTCATTAGACTCTTTGAGCACACGTTCACGTTCACTGTCTTTAATGTCTCGAATATTGATTAAGTTTCCTAGTTCTTCATTGATTGTTTTATACTTTACTTCTAGATCCTGTTGTGTATCATTTATAAAATAATTTATTCTCAAATACCAAATACTAAACTTTTCTAGTCATTTATCTGCAATATTTCCGATGTGTATCGAAAAATATTTTATGTATTTATTCTATCATAAATCATTACCTATTAACTATATTTATAAATCAGTGAGTATAACTTTAATTCGAAAATATGAAGTACAATTTCTTTAAATATTTTATATAATTAAATAATTTATAACACTAAAAATATTATTATACATTATTTTCTTTTTTTTTAAAGGAACAAAAACTTGTAATAAAAATATCAAACTTACATAATTGATAACTTCAAACAATAAAATTAAATAGATAATCTGAATGTTTCAAACTTAAAAATTTGTTCAATCCCATATTTTATAATTAAATCTATAAAAATTTAAATATAAACTATTTCGTCTCCAATGTTCTCAATTATTTATTGAAAAAAATTCAAAATTATACGATATGCAACTTTAAAATATTCATCTACGTAATATATAAATATTGGTAATACAAATTCAAAATATTAATTAGTAAGTACAAATTGTTATTTTATTAAATACAACAAATAAATAATGTATTATTTATTAATTTAAAGTTTTACTAGCCACTCAATACCGTTACATATAAAAGCAGTCAATTTTTATTAAGAAAATATTCAATATAGAACTCGAATATATGATAATAATAATAATTAAAATAATAATACCTAATTAAAATAATTAACTAAATTTTATATAGTATCAAGTAAAATTATTATTGATATAATGAAGTAATACATTTAAATTGTATCTATAGATTTAATAATAATTTTTAAGTAAAATCTTACTATAATATTTGATACATTATTGTACAAATAATAATATCACTAAGTAGATATAAATATATAATAACATTTACATTAAATAATTTTAATTTTTTTACACAAAGAATAGTAAAAATAAAAACCTTTTAATATTAATCATATTATCAAAAAAACTAAACAAAAGTATTGGATTTACATTTTTAAAGATTCATTGATAAGTTTTAAACCGAACAATAAATAAAACTGTTACCTATCTAGACTCTAGAACAACTAATAAAAGTATACCTATTTTATAAAAGTAACATTTTTTGATATTTTAATAATATGTTGGTATATGCTCATTGCTCATAAAACAAAATACATGATTATCGGTAATAATTATCACTACTCATTGATAAAATTATGATATAAGAGCATATATTGAAAAATAAAATATCAATTTAACATCGGGATATTAAAAATGTTATAAAAATCTTTTTGCCACTAACTTTACTATAATATAATATTAATTTTAGAATATTTTTTCCACGTGGACCCTTAAGTAGACTTTTTATGCGTATTTAAATTTACCAGACATATTATAATCACTTGTGCATATTCGTCAATATCATATTTAAGTATAAAGTATTTAAATACTAAATATACTCACTTGAATCTCGTTCTCTAAATTTTCAAGCGTTTTTTTTTTTCTGCAGCCACATGCTGTTGAGTTTTTCGTAAGTCTCCTCTAAAGCAATCTTTTCTTTGTATTCTTCGCCTACAACAAATATACATACATTTACTAACTAAAGTAGGGTAACCGAGTTCGAAGTAAACCGACTGGCCGGGTTAACGGAAGACATTCCGGACTTGTAACAATTATTGTTGGCATTGAGTACGCGCAATGTATTCTCCATAGCTCGGATCTCAGTCTCCAGCTTCTGCACACGCTCGTCCAGTCGGTCACCAGTCTCCTGCAACTCGAGCTTTTCTTGGGCCACCCGGATCCGGTGCTCACTAATCCTAAACGAAGATAAATCTGAATCTGTATCGTCGCAATCGCCATCGCCGTCATCCACTGTCGTCGAAGCCCCACCCATCGTAGACAAAAGTATCTGATGTTTGGTCTTTCGCTGTTCAATGTACTGAACCAACGAATCCAGCTTGCGTTTTATCGTTGACTTTTCATCTGACAACAATTTTTTCTCCTCGTTGATTCGTTTATAAATTTCTGATACTTCACTTTTCCTATTGTTTATGCTCTACACACGCGCAAAACACCGATATATTTTAAATAAATATTATATAAATATTTCTTGGTAGTCACCGTAACATCTTGTTATACTTTAATTTGAATGGTTATATAAAAAACGTATACCTACCACAGTTAATTCTTCGCGCTGCTGAGCCAACGAATACACTTTTTCACATTCGTTGTCCGTTAACTTCTTCATTTGTTCTATCTTGAGCTTCACCATCATTTCTTCCATATGATACCGATGATTTGTTTCCTTTAAGACTTGAATTTGTTTTACACCTTTATTGTACATGAAAAAATAAAACATCGAGTACCATTAGCTAGCTCTATCTCAATAACATCAACGCTACACTTTACAATCATAACGAACCTCCTTCATTGGTAACGTTCAACTCTTCTACTCGGTTTCGAAGCATTTCTAATTCTTCGGCATTTTTTTCAATTTGTTTAGTTATACGTCGGGTTTCGCTCTAAAACGTCATAATAATATTTCCATTATTTTTAATAGTATATGTATCTATTTATCGTAACCCACTTCAGTCGATTTCAATTGCTTTTCCAACTCACGTTGGTGTTCATAGGCCTGACTTAACTCTTCATTACATTTTTGTAACTTTTCTTGCAAAACTTTCGTTTCTTCAATATCCGTTGTTCCTTTGGATTCAGCAATTGCTATACGTTTAGTTTCGAGTTGAAAGCTCTAAAATAATTGCTGTGTTATATCTTTATGCATTGTTTTCCTTGATATTTCAATTCTATTACCAAGTTGTATATGATTTCTTTTTTTTCCAAAATCAGTTTTTTTATTTTCGACTCTTCTTTACTCAATATATTTTGTTTGTTACAAGTTCGATCTAATTGATTTGTCAACAAATCGATATTAATTTTTTCCTGACTTATCTCATTTCTTATATTATACGCGGCAGTAAGCATTTTATTTTTTTCTGATAAGAATTTTTCTGCTTCAGATTTTTTTTGCTAAACATAACAAACAATTATTATTAAATATTTTTACTAATAAAATAATATTTCTAAAAATTTCAAACCAAGCATTAATACATTGTAGATCAAATTTAGTTCATTTAACCTCTCCTCCGTGGTCATAGACTGGTTTTTGATTTTAGACAAATCATCCTTTACTTTTGCCAAGCCTTTTTCTTTTTGTTGTATTTGAGTTTTCAACTTTGTTAATTCATTTTCCATATGCTTACGTTTTGTACGTTCGTTTTCTAACTTATTACCCACAGCACTAAGAGCTTTTTGAACAGACAATACCTATGAACATTTTAAGGAACCAATAACATTAATAGCAGGCAATATATAGCAAGTTATATAATATATATAAATACAATATATTTTAAATCTTAACCTCTGATTGTAAATCTTCAGTTTCCGAAAGCTTATTAATGGTTGATAACTTCAGCTCATTGTTGACTTTAATTACTTCTTCAATTTTATATTCTAATTCTTCATTTTTCTCCAAATATTCTTGATACTTTTGTTTATTCTCATTCATGTTATCATACACTTCACGTGCAGCAAATCTAATTTTATTTATTTCCTGTAATTTTAATTCATAATAAATATTTAGAATAACTGTTTCATCTCGGATACAATTATACTGACTTCAACGGTATTCTGCGAATCTTTTTGATTAGAGTTTAAAAAATTAGCAGCATTCTCCCATTGTTCAAGGCGATGGTTTCTTTCATGTTGTGCTTGTTTAGTTAACTTAGCAGTTTGTTCTAGTTCTCTTTCTACTTGAAGGAGTTCACTTACTTCTTTTTCCACGATAGACTCTCTTTCAATTACATCTCTTTGAAGATATTGTCTTCGTAATTCTAATTCCTAAATTATATATATTTTATAAATGTATATTTTTAAGACTATTTACACTTCAATTTAGTTTTATTACCTTAAACCTGTTATTATCCTCTAGATGATATGTCTCAAGAATATTTACATCCGTACATCGTTTGGTCAAGTCGTTGTTCCATGCCAAAAGTGTTTCTTCACCCCACTCGATAGTTTCCCTCAATTTTTTAATTTGTTCGTCGTTTTTTACCAACTCATTCTAAAAATGTAATTAATAAGAAAATTATGTAGCAAACACTCAATATATTTATAATTTGTATACAATTGTATTTCATTGTTTTGAATATGTAACAATACAGACCCAAAGAAACGTTATATTTGTAATTACATGTAGGTATACATAGCTCACGTTTTATGATGTTTATTAATTAATTTTCAAACTAACTCAATTTATAAGTAAAAATATAACAAACTAAAAATTGTTTAACATTTTTCACTTATTATTTTAAAATATATTATAAAATACATAAGAATTAATAAATCCTTTTCTTTGATTCGTTTTAAAAACTTATACAATTCGCAATTTACTGATTATAAAATAAATATAATATCTTAAAAATTAAAATAATCAATTAATCAATTTAAGAAAAAAAATTAATTAAATGTATACATACCTAACAAAAATGTAAACAACGTTACCATTCATTATTGAGTAATACACGTCTGTATACATTTTTGCTATCGTATATTATTATTATATATTTACATCAGTCATTATAAAATTATAAAATATTAGGTCCAATACAATTTTAAAAACTATATCATACATTATTAATTATTTACATTGCTCAAAAGTTCTAGTATTTACACATTTTTTTGTAATTCTTAGATCATGCAAAATAAAATTAAAATTTGTTTCACATTTCTCTGATGCCATATACTAAATTGTATTTTAATAATTTTTACATATCTAAGGTTTTTAATACTATTTAAATTTTATCATGAAATACGTTTTTAAATATTTTTTTATATAAAAATAGAATAAAACACATGACGAATGTAGAATAGCAAACATTTAGTTAATAAATTCTAAGCACTAAGAATATACATAGAATTATAAAATTTAATTTTTTTTTTTTTGTAGACAATAATGTATAATATACATAATTTTTGTTTGTTAAAATATAGTTTTATTACATTTATGAGTTTTGTTATTAAATTTAATATTTTAAAAGTTTTTATAAATATTGTATTATATTTTATTTTATAATTAAACAAACGAAAGTTCAGTTAGTTTGTACCAGAATATATGTACATACGACATTTTTGCTATCCTATATTTAATATTTCAAATGAAAATAATAAAAATAATAGAATTTATAAAGATATATTTAAAGTAAAAATAAAGAATAAAAAATCAGCTTGATAATATAAATCTTAAAACCATACATTAAATATCTGTATACATATTATTATATTAATATAGGTACTTTTCTTGTATAAGATTTTAAAACACTTTTTTACGTTTTTAAAAAAAATTTAATTGATTTAATACTTGTTTTACTCTTTTTAATATTGGATACAAATAAATAATATTATAGTTTAATATTTACAATTTATTACTTTTGATAATTACTATCAGTTTTTAAATACAACTGTCTGTAGCTTCTTGATCACACAAAACCACTTTTAAATTAGATCTCATAAATACACAACAACCAACCAATGGCCACTGTAGTATTAAATATTATAAAATATAATATTTAACTCTGGTAAACCATTTAAAACCTTTAAAAATACAAATGACGTGTGATGTCTAGATATGCTAAGGACTCCAGTCCAAGTCCGAAATATCAGGAGTTCACGAGCTAGTCACTACTTATTCTGCGGTTTCCGTGGCATGTATTTCCAATGCCAGGGGTGGGCAACGGCAATAATTTTAGTTGTAGATCTCATTTAACAGCGGCAATTCTGATTACTCCATACGTCCCTATTACATATTAAATTCTGAGTGATCCTCTAAAAGTTACTTCACTTTTTCGTAATTTTCGACAAATTTAAGCATTCAATAATTATTATTAAGCTTTAGTTTAACTTTAAATATCATATTATATTTTTATTTTCATTTTTTGAATAAATTGAGAAAACCAATCTTTGTACACAACAACAAATTTATTTCTTTATTTTAATCAATTTTATAATAATATTGTAAATACTAATACACCTACCATATAAGTACATAATATACGAGAAAACTATCATATATTTTTACTTATTACAATATTAAATATCAAATGTGACTGGTTATATTCTTTCATATAGTTATACAACTAAATAAAAATAGTTCATAAAGCTGTAGAAAAACGATAATAAGTATAAATATATTTATAATATAGATATAGAGTAAATAACTTAAATTAGTTTATGTTTTGTGAAGGTGCTTACCGGTTTATAGTGTTTTTAAATGCATTTAAAATTTCAAGTGCTTAAAATTAACGTTTTTAATGCCATAACTTCTAAGCCCTGATTATCGCTATCTTGTTTTTAATATCTAATAATTATAGTAAGTAGGTAGTAAATTATTGGTGCCTGATAATATTAAGTAAATATACTAACGATTTATAGTTTAAATTAATTTAAATTACGTATTTTTAACTATCGATTGTATAAACTACCAAATCACGATTAAAATAAATCATCGAATATAACCATCTGAAAAACTAAATGTATTTTATTTTCAATACTATTGCATTTAAAATAATTTGATAATTTTGAATTGCATTAATTAATAATTTATAGCTCACGATTTGGATAAGTGATAGGTCACAAGTATAATAAATATAATAGAATTTAATTATTAACCAAGTATTCCATACTTCCATTTTATTCTGATTTTCAATCAATTCATTTAAATTTTGTTTCAATGCTTTATTTTCCCGAGATAAATAGTCGTTGTCTTTTTGAGCTGCTATCAGCATATGTTGTTCCGTCTCATATTGTTGACGATTTGCTATGATCAATTTCTATTCAAAAAACAAAATATACAAACATTAATTATATTAAATAAATACACATATTTTTAAATTATTGTTATTATGAATTTATAACTTTACAATAGTGCTTATTAAAATAAAACATCAATAGATTTACCTGATTTTGAACCTCATGAGATGATAAGTTGGTTAATATATTTTTATTATCACGTAATTCATTATCCAATGATTCATCAGTAACCAATAGTTCCGCTTTTTTTTTTAGCAATTCTTTTATCTATTAAACATTTTATCTCATTAAAAAAAAAAAAAAAAAAAAAAATGAATAAAAACAAAATTATTATTAAGTATTTTACTATTAAAAATACTTTTAGAATAAAATTAAAAACATAAAATACAATGATACAATTATAGTTACATTTAAGAAAATTGAACAATAATTGCATCTAAGAAAACCAAGAAATTTGCTTTGTTATACAATAGGTTTCATAATTTTAAGTCATTCTGATTTTACAAAATTTCCGAATCAATAACCATTGAATACAAAAAATAATTATGGGCAAATAACAATCTACTAATCTATATTTCTAAAGAAATTTTATTATATTATATTTATTGCTATAAGTAATTTATTTTTCTATTAAAAATACAGTAGGTTGAACTAATTTTTTCCTAAAACTAGTAAAATACGATTATAAGCAATACATGTAGGTATGTCATATTATAATAACTATAACTATTTTTATACTACTAAATACTAGCTCATAATCAGTAACAGCTGTTATTTTAACTTGTAAGTTTAGTAATAAGTAATTACTAATTACAATAGAATGTTATAAATTTCTAATGTTAATATTTTTTTAATTAAAGTAGAAACACAAAAATTGCTACAGATAAATCAATTATTGGCATAATTCTTTTGAAAATGAAATTGGGATTCTAATTAAACATGTATAAAAAATCATTGCTTTACGCTAATTTTTTTTTTTTTCGGTTTTAATTTTAATATCTTATAATGAATCTTGTATTAAATTATCTAATTTTTTCGATCCTGAGCTAAGCAATTACTATATTGATTTCATCATTTTTTTTTTTTTAATGTTTTTTAACTTCATATACTTTTGGTAGAAAACTGAAACAAAATATTACATAGCAAAAATTGGAAAATTCTCAGTACCTGTATTAAAATAATTGGTAAAAACAAAAATAAATAAGGGAAAAATGGAAATTTTTACGGAAAACCAGTTTTTAACTAAATCGATTTCCTCATTTTATTGTAACTTAAAAACAAATAACCTTAGATACTTGAATATTCACTAAATATTTAAATTGGTATTTACTATATGTCTAAACATAGTATAATTTTCAAAAGTTTTTGACTCTATTTAAACTATTAATAGACATAGATATAAAAATGTTCATATATTTTTTTCAATGATTATCGATAATGTTAGCTTGGCAGAAACGCTTAAAATATAACATCAAGTATTTTTATACTGGGATTAAAATGAAATTGAAGTTTTAAGATAAAAATTTTACAAAATTTCATCTAATTGTGAAAATTTGTAAATTATTTTGTAGTTGAAAATTTCTTTACATTTTAATACACATACTTACCTAAGCTTATTTAATTTTTTTTTACCATGAATACCTTTTTTTTTATCTTTTTATCCTACTCATTAAACAAACTTATCTCATTAAAAATGTATTTGCCTACTTTTAACGAGTAAAGTAACTTCATTACTTTTATCTTCAAGTAATGGGTTAAATAACTTAATTTCTACCTATTTAAAATTAAAAATATATAAAAACTAAAATGTATCAACTCAAGTATTCATATTCGAGTATATTATATTATAATAAATTCATGCATAAAGGATACCCGTCATTTATAGATATTCCTTTCAAATTGAGATTAATATACACAATAAAAGTTATAAGACATAAGTAATAAATCTGTCTGAAAATTTTTTACTGCTTCTACTAACTGTTTAATTGTATCTTTTACAAAACAATACTATAAAATATTATTAAAATGTAATTTTATAAATATAGATAGTGATATTAAATTATAATTATAATGTTGTAGATATAGTAAACCTCATTTTCAAGTGATTGATTTTCTTCATTTGCCACCGGTACGTGAAAGCCATCACCACAGCCAATGTCCTTCATTATGTCTGCTATTACCTGGCCGTCGTAAGCCATTTTTACTAGATATTCGGAACCGTACAATTAGTTTAAATCAGTAATTAAATTAAAGAGCCTTTGAAAGTATACAGAGTGAAAAAGTTGTTGAAAAAATCGGGGAAACAAATGTGAAGTACACAAAACGGTTGCTATGGTAACGATAAAGAATACCTACCTCCTACCTGGTACGATGTACATATTATTATTATAATGTAGTTGTTCGATTAAATTACACAATGTTGGCATGGTGTGTGGAGGTAGGGTAGTAGCTAGGTACTGATTTACTGTACCTACAACTGTTTATAAATCAAGACGTCATGACAACATTTAATACCTTTTCAGATTGTCAGACTTGTGAGGTGCTGTATAGTGTATAAGTACTATTTTCACAAAGGTTCCTTGATTGTAGATACTTGATGATATCAGTTATCATTCGTATTTTGTAAATAATAATATTATGCGCATCGTCTATTAACTGCAAGAGTTTATAAATTCATACTATAGATTTAAAATGTGTTCAGCAATAAATCCACTATTACTGGAAAAATATGAAATTTCCCTCGTACTGAATAAATGATGACCTACTAATAATAAATACTAATATTAATACTAGAAAACATTATTCGTAGAGACTTAATAAAACTAGATCAATTCTAATAAAATTGAATTAATTACCTACTATAGGTACATAATATAAAATAGTGACTACAGGTACTTATTATACCTACGTAATTAACGAAATAATGAAATTATTGTCTTTTAAAAATAAATTTCATATTATATGTAGGTATCTACCACTGATTATATTATGTAAAGAAAAAAACGACTATAAAAAGATTGAAAACAATTAAAATTAACAAAGAACCTACTACTCGTATATAAATCCAATACAATTGAGAACAAATTTTTATATAATGTTGCCATATCGTTTATTTGGGTATCGAAAGATTCAGTACGTTGTATTTTGGTGATCAAAAGATTGATTTTTAATTTAGAGACAAGTACACAACTACAAGGTAATCCTCATTGCTTACTAGTTTAAGAAAAATCTTTTTATTAATTGGATAATATAAGTGTTACCATGCAAAATATTAATAATAATATTTATTATTAAAATATTTTTCCATCAAAAATTAGGTGATGTATTTAAAAATCAAATATATGATAAAAATATTCTCGGATACAAGTCTATAATTAATTTAACCTTATAAACATATATGGGTACCGTACCTCTACTACCTGCCACCTAATAATAAATATAAAACGAGTTCAAAATTATAAGTTTGGAATCAATAACCATTAAATTAACCGTTAAAATAATCATTAATTTACACAAATATGAAATATGTATAAATATTTTATTAAAAGTCTAACAAATACGAGTATTACTCAATAACGATAATTATTAAATTTTGCAATGTTGGAAAAAAAATCCAACATTCTCAATCATATAACTAAAAAATAAAAATATCGTTCTCAACTATATTATTTTCAATCGCTTTTTACCGCAAAATATTCTCATAAAATTATGGTGTTTTGTAGATAAGTACATGTTGTTTTGCGACAAAATAGATGTTTAATAATAATTAATAAAAAAATGTGAATGATCAAACATTTTTATCAAAGTTTTGATTTTAATTTGTATTACAAATTCGAATATACATTAGAATTGTTTTCTACTTGGATAATTTTATTGGACAGATGTTAAATAAGGTCTTCATTTTATGTTTTATAATTGTCCGGAGTCTCTCTAAAATCCGGTTCCTTGTATATTATACTCAAAGACATTTTTAAAATATTTAAGTTAATTTTAATGTAGGTATTACCAATTTATACCTCAAATCTACTCACATCATAATATGGTATCGATACTAATTAAAAAAATTAATACAATAATCTATGATATACACAAATAGGTAAAAGTACAGGCACTATTATAATAATTAATAGTAATATAATAAATGCGATATTTTTGGTGAAATTAATTCAACTTAGTACCTACCATATTAATAATAGAAAAAAAGTTTAAATAATTATTATAGTAGCACACAATATAAATAGTTTATCATTAAATATTAAAATGTACCTAGTAGTTAATAATAAAGGCTGTTACTGCTCAGAAATTATTTTTCATTCCAATACCTATCCAACTATTTTTCATTGAGTTCAAATTTAGACTATTATCCAATGACATGGCACACTCAACACTAATTAATAATTACTATAACACAGAACAACTTCAAGATTTTTTTTTAATTTATTACATTTAAAGAATATTTATATATTATCTAATTCTATCACCTAGTACCTACCTAATCGTTGATTTTTTTTTTATTGTTTCACCATTGATTAGAAAAAGTACTAAGAATTAATTTTTGATCTCCATAATTCAAATTATCAACAAGAGATACTTTACTATAACAAAAAGCATTAAAATTGAATATTGAAACATTTTGTCTACTCCAAACAAAAAAATAATTAACATAGTAAAATCAATAAATTCATCAAAATACTCGGAACTTAAAATGTTAACTTAACATTTTTATTTTAGAGCAGGTAGGTTATTTTGTTAAGTTAATTAGTTTGCACAACAGCACAACTAACATAACTACCTTTGTTTGTGACATTAAATCATTGATAACAATACACAAAGCTTTATGTGTAAATTATTGTTTCCAATAAAAGTAAAAAAATGAAAATAGACATTTTTGAATTACAACTCTTATAAGAAAAAAAAAATTTTGTCTGGACTAAAACAATTTTTAATTTGGTCCTGCATAAAAAATTCTGTAAGTTACTTCAAATAGTCAATAGTATAACAGATACTTATTTACACAAGATAATAACAATTAAAACACATGTTATATTGAATACTTTTTTTTATTAATATACGACTGATCAGAATCATATTCATGTATTTAAATCTGAAATATTAAGACACAAATAATACAAATAAAAAGAAACAAAAAGGAACCTTATATTCTATAACTGTATACATTTTTGATTTACATTATATACACATTACTGTATTGTTTGCGTAAAATAAAAAGAACGAGTATAAAAATGAGAGGACTGAATACAAAATTAATTGGATTTATTTTTAAAACTAATCATATAATTTATAGTACAATTTTTTACACGTTAATTATATTAATATAATACTAATGTATATGATCACAGCATACGTCAATCATGTATAATAATGACAAACCTATTGTAATAAGGATACCTATTATTTTATTCATTACTTCCAAAAGTTAACCTATATACAACTACATAAACCATTTAACCAACATGAGCTACAAAGTAATTGTTATAATGCACATATCTTATAGATGTAAGTGTAATACCACCCGCATAATTCATTAATTAAAACAACTATTTAATAGCTTGAAATTTTTTTGTTAAATTCAATGATTTTAATACCTAAATTACAACAATTTACCAATAACATTTTGGCCCTTTGTATAACTACTTCAATAATTACATTGTTGCAAACTATGAATTATAAAATTACCAAATTATACTGAATTTAATACAAGTATAAAAGTAGGTAAAAAATAAAATAAATAATAATAATTGATATACAAAAAAAAAAAATATATATATAAAAATTATAATATTTAAACAATTTTGAAAACGTCATTTTGCAAAAATGCATTTATTTAAACAAAATAGAAATCAAAATTATTTAAACATTACATAAAGTACTTTTGTTCTTAAGGACCAAATACTTATATTTCAAATGAAATTATAAATATGATAAATAACAAGCTATATTAAATTTAAAATACATTATTGGCCATGTCTTTACTTAGTATATAAAAATAATATAACTTATATGATTACATGATATCTAATCAATTACAGACTATAATATATTCTTAAAGTTAATCTTAAAGTAATGAAGTAGTGAGAGTTGGGAGTATGTTAATCATTTTTTAAAAAAATTTAACATGAATATAAGCATTTTAAAACTATAAAATATTAACAAATAATCATACGTCAGTTTTGATTTTAATAATTTTATCCATAAAGCGTATGCGTTTTATGCAATAAAAAAAAAATGTATATAAATAAATAACATAAATGATTTATTTTGATAACATTTAAGGCGTGAAAAATAAAATTCCATCAAATTTGTCTACTAAACAAATGCTAAAGGTAAAAATTTATTATTTGTATTAAGGCTTAAATCTTGGTAATATTAAATAAAGTTGTTGTCAACTTTCCTATAAATATTCATGAGTTGCGTTAATAACTCTACTATGAAATGGTTATAAATTAACATTTACATTATAAACAAAATGAAAGTAATTAGACATTGTAAGAACACAACAATTTGTAATTTAATTAAGTACACATTTAATTTAAATTTTTTATTATTTAGGGAAATAATAAAATTAAGCTAAAATTATGTCATCAGTACAAAATGTTTCCTAATAAAATTAAATAAGCGGAAAATATTCTCAATCTACAATTTTTATAACTTCAGAATTAAAAAAATATCATATATATAATTCATTGTAATACCAGGATGAACCTCTATTTTAAGCAAACTATTAAAAATGTCAAAATCTCATTATTGGACAAATAATACCAGATCACAATAAAACTAATAATTTGTTTTAATTATTATTACTATTATTATTTATTTTTATTGTAATACTTGAAAAATCTCAAGTTAACACGTAATTATCATTAAAATCCTTAAAAGGTTATAAATATATATTTTTAATTGTATTAAATACAATTAATTTAAACTACTAATGGAGGATCATATTTTAATAAGTAATGGACTATTAGATAGAAATTAAATTTATTTTTATCCTGAATTAATTAATTTGTTAATGTTATTATTGATTAAAATCTGTATAGTAACTGAATGATTTGTATTTACAATATTTTAAAAATGGAAATGTTCATACGGCTATTTGATGATAAAACATACAAACTGAAAAGCCAGTCTCAACTCTCAATCAGTCTCAATGAAAATATAGACAATAAAATATTAAAATTCACAATGCATCGGAGAAGAGTGAAACTATTTAGGAACGTTTAAATTAAATTATGAAATATATTTTTAAATAGTAGG